GATAATCAACTGATGCAAGAAAATAAAATATAATTGTTCAACATCATTGTAATATAAGTCTGAATTTTTGATAAACAAATTATGTTGCTTGTGATCTTATCAAATGAAAATCAAACAAATATGATTTACTTACTATTTTTTTTTTCTGTTGACTATTGGTTATCATGAATATTGAAATGTCTCTTTTTCTCATATGATTTTTTAAAATAAAAAATATTAATATTTAGCAAAGAATCTAAATGAATACAAAAGAAAATTGAAGAATTTTTTTATCGATTATTAAATCGTTATATTAATCAATTTTTGTTTTTTGAAAAAAAAATAATACAAAAAATTCACATAAAAAATGAATTGAATGCCTTCGATTACAAATGAAAAGAAAATTACAATAATTTCTCATATTATAATTACTTATTCTTTGGTCGAAACCTTACAAGTATTCCATAAGCAAGAAGTGTTGCTCTTCTATCAGTAAAATATTCAATTTTAGAATTTGGTATATGTGGACAAATTTGATTATTACCAGCTCCAATTGTTTCTGGTCCGATTTTAAAACTGTCGGGCATTTGTCGACATTGAAGAACAATCTGAGTTTGATAATCAGTATTATTTTCTGTTGAATGAAAATCATAAATTGGACTATATGCTAAACTACTTGAATAAGCTATAGTTGGTGATGTATAAATAAATTTTTGATTAGGAATATGTCCAGCACGAATACCCAGTTTAGTACCATCAATTAATACATCGCCTGGAAGACAAAATTGACGATGTGTAAGAATTGATTGTGCTGCAATTTTTGTTGTTCCATGAAATGTTACTATCCATTTATTCCAAATATCATGAGTTTTCATAAAAACTGGATCAATATGAAGACCTAATCGTACCCATCCACGAGGGATAACATATTTACCTTCACCAGTTTCGATAACATCATTCCATGATTTCAAATAACAATGATTGCAATAGCAATGATCATTATTACGATCAAAAAATGGTTTTTCCCACTTTAATGAAATACAAAATTCACGTGCAAGTGTCAGATAAGGACATTCAGATGATTTAGGCATTAATACAATTATAAAAGATTGACCATTTAGCCAAAAACCTTTGATTTGTATCTGATTTTTTGAAACAGCTTTTTCATTTTCATTTTCTGTTGTATCATTCGGCTGTCCATCTAGTTTATCTTTCGTCCAAACACCAATCTCTTTGGTTCCATCTGCATGATAAAATGTTCCTTTACCATGTTTTCTATTATATCTCCATAATCCATCATATCGATCGCCATTCATCCAAGTATTTATTCCATGTCCATGTCTCATACCGTTGACCCATTCACCTACGTATTTTCCTCTATCTGCATACGTAAATGTTCCTTGACCATGTTGGTGATTATCTGCCCAAAATCCTTCGTATCGATTGCCATTCATCCATGTGTTTTCTCCTTGACCACTTCTCATATTGTCTTCCCATTCGCCAACATATTTACCTCCATTAGCATAAAACAATGTTCCTTTACCATGTTTCTTATTATCCTTCCAGTTTCCTTCATATCGATTACCATTAGCCCATGTATTAACTCCATAACCATTTCGTAAATCATCAGTCCATTTACCTTCATATTTACCTCCATCTGCATAATATAAAGTTCCTTCTCCATTTTTCATTTCATCTTTCAAATCTCCTTCATATTTGTCACCATTAGGAAATTTTTTTACAACCATTATAATTGTTTCAATGAATTGATTCTAATCTGAAAATATAATCATTTTTTGATTATCTTTTGTTTTTTTTTAATCAGTAAAAATCTTATATTGATTTTGTTTTTTTTTAGGGTACAAAAAAAAGTTGTTCTTTAGGGAATAGTAAACATTTCAGTGAAATATTGACCTATTGAATATAGAAACAATTTCTTATCTTTCAGAACTGCTCGTTAATAGAATTGAAAATAATTTTAATAACAAAATTATATAGATTTTATGCTCACAAATAAGAAATGTAATAGAAGTTTCCAGTGTGTGTCAATTTGAATAAATATATGATTGTATTTTTCTGTAATTCAATATTTTCTCTTTCTTCAACTTCCTTTCTTTAACTCACATTTTTTTTTGTTCTGTATTTCTTCGTATAGGTTTAATACTCTTTTTTAGTAATAGATGTAAATAAAAATCGACCAACTCATATACTCACTTATTTTATGGAGTTAACGAATTTTTAAAACTATGTTTTATATGTTTTATTTATAAATTCAAAGAAAAAATTAATATATTCTGTTCAGATCGATTCTGTAGTACACGTGGAACGACAAACTTTTTCTGATAAGAAATTTTATGTTCTTGCAGGTAAATAATGAAAAAAAATGCAAGCAAGCTGCTGACGAAACCATCATGTTATTGCACACCGTCATCGAATGACAATTGTTTTCTTCATCTCCGCTTTTATAAAATGAATAAATCTTGTTGTTTCTTGCAATAATTTTATCTACACAAAAATAAATATGTTTTAAATATATTTAGAAAGATAATTATTCTATACAACTAACTCAAAATTTTTAAAGTTTTCAGTAGGAAATATGTTATGAACTACATGCATATTCGTAGATATAAAATTCAAGAATTCTGAATATGATTCGTAAAATTAAAAAAATCACTAAAATGAATCCGTTGATGAGGTAATCATACTTCTCTAAGAAATGTTTTGCCACTAAAAAGTGACACATGTCAAAAAGAAATGAATAAAAAAAAATTCTACGTTGAATCTTGACGTCATTAAATGCCTTGTTTACCTTAAAGAAAGGTTTTTTCCTTGTTTGTAAAGGTCAAATTCAGCATCAAACATACACGGTTGGAAAAAATATTATTCCAGGGGAGTAACGTTATAATTTCAAATAGAAGACATAATAAATTTTATATCAAATGAAAGCTCGTTAAAAATGGGGTTTATTGGTATTAAATAGTGAGGGTTATGAAAGCCTTTTAATGTCGAGCTTAATAAATTTTCAGAAATTTTATACTTTTTTTGGGATGGAAAATTAAAGTACTAGTGATTCAAGAATGGAGTAAAATGTTTTTCTTGAATATTTTTACACGGTTCGATAGAGCTCGTCAAGCTCTATAAAACTGTATACATTAAAAAAATTTTAAGACACTTTTTTTGCGATAAAAAATTCAAAAAACTATTTGGAAAATCTTAGAAAACATGAAAAAAATTCATATTTTTCATGTGGAAGAACAACACTTACTTTTTCAATAAAAGTAGCTTTTTTCATTGTTTTTACTCCGTCAGGCGTTTCGAAACATACTCATTAGACGCAGCTTTTCACACTGCATCGAACGAGTATATTTCGAGACGTCTGAGGTAGTAAAAACAACGAAAAAAGCTACTTTTATTGAAAAATTGAGCGTGTTTCTTCAATTTGAAAAAAAAAAGAGTTTTTAAATGTTTTTGAGGTTTCCCGAGTAGTTTTTTGAACTTTTTATCTCAAAAAGATGCCTCAAAAAATTTTTAACATGCACAGTTTTGTAGAGCTCAACGAGGTCTATCAAACCATGTAAAAATATTCAAGAAAAAAAATTGACTTCATTTTTAAATCAGTGGCACCTTGATTTTCCACCCCAAAAAAATATAAAATTTCTGAAAACTTCTTAAGTTTGACATTAGAAAGTTTTTACAAGCCTCACTGTTCAGTATCAATAAACCCCATTTTTGACGAGCTTTCATTTGATATAAAATTCATTATGTCTTCTATTTGAAATTATAGCGTTACCCCCCTGGAATAATATTTTTTCCAACCGTGTAGAATACAAGGTAAGTCAGGGTGTGGGTGTGAGTGTGCGACTAACCTTTCCGTACACTAAAAACCACATCCACACCCTTTTCCTACAACCGTCTCCTCGCCTAAGAATCGTTGCCTGCGTACCTGATTTTTATTATATATTTTATTTATTCTCCTTTTCATATTTTGAACATATGAAGCAACTATTAACATGATTATATTTTAATTTCTCTATTTTAGAGATTCAAACAATTGATTACTATATGCAAGTGGTGCTGCAATTAGGGATCTGCAAGATGAGATCGGGACCAATATTTTCAAGCTGGTACCGATAGATTTTTTTATCAAGGACTAGACTACACTACGCATTTTGATATTTATTATTTTTTTATGATCAGAGATCTAAAAACTAGCAATTTTTTTTTACAATGTCAAGAAGAATACCTCACTGATTCTAGTTTTGATTTCAAGAATCAGAATTTTGCAATAACTTGTCTAGCTTTCTGACTATGTCAATCACAATATACATAAATTCGATTCGATAACAGTTCAGCTATTCCTTTATTTATTGCCTCAATAGATAGGGATGGCTCGACCGAGAGTGTGAGGGGTATAACACCCTCAATCGTCAAGTATTTTCATTTTTTTGTTCATGCACAATCTAAAAATTTTCTTGTGTTCTGTTAGAACAAATAATGATTCATCCTTCCCCCAAAATTTGCTACATTCCCCCATGTTGGTTGGTTCGAATCATCCCTATCAATAGATAACAAATAGATACAAGTCACTGTTTGTTTTTTGTCAACGATAATGGCATTTTAAAATAAATATTTAATCAAATAAACATTCATGTAGATTTTATATAAATATTCAAAGGGTAACAGATATCAAAAAATAATAACTTGATTTTAGCAAGGAAATCGGATATATGAAATGGAGACTAAAATCAATACAAAAATTTAATCTGAGACTGGGACCGGGACCGAAAAAAAGTGATTTTGCACATTCCTAAGTGCAATATGTGTTAAAGATGTTGATAGCAGTATAGTTATTGGTTATGTTCATGTTGGTGTTATCTATTAAATTGATAAAATCTATAATAAACTATAAATCAAGTTTCGATTTATTTTCTTATTTTTGTTGTGCAATGAAGATTAAATTGAAGCAATTTCTTAATTTATTGCTTGAAATAAGTGTTACAATGAAAAAAACTATCATCTCATCAAGATTTGACAAATGACATCTCGAATAGACCACAAGGTACCATTGTCCATCCATCTGGTACAAACATAATACCCTCAAAAACATGTCTTTCTTTATTCCATGTCATTTTACACAAACATTGATGACCAAAATTCAATTGTGGATCACCAGTGCCATACTAAATAAATCGAAAAGAAAATTTTCGATTTTAATTAATATATCAAATCAACGTACTTTATACGATTGAATCACGTTGATCTGTTGGATATCTTTTGAATATTGCCCACTCAAAATGAATTGTCCTACATTGTCTTCGCCATGACCTTGAAATATATTGTTATTTGCGTTGAAACTCATATAATGTTGGAATGGTCCATACCATACACCATATTGCTGGTAACGATTGAACCAGACACCATTGATAAAAATGTCATTTGATGAAGGCAAGGACGAAGAAAGAACAGCAGCTAAATAAATAAAATGTTTTATTGACAAATATTTACATCGAATATATCTTGAGACAAACTTACATTTTTCTATTTCTGAAGATGTCAAATCTTTGATGTTGAACGTCTGCGGAATAGCTGCTCTATCTTGTACGAGCATGTTTTCTTTGTCCTGAGACTTTTCTCGGAGTCCTTCAATTTTTTCAGCTAAAACTTGAAATCCATGATCGATTTGTTTTGAATGAAAATGAAAGTAAGCATTTTGCTGTTGAATCATTATTTGTTGCTGTTGTATGAGTGTTGTCAATATTTCTTGATCTTCTCGTTGATCGTATTCATCTTGTTTCCTATCGATGAGATTATGTACATTAATACCCATGGTAAATTCAGAATAGTAGTTTTGCAGTTGATTGTTAAGATTGGCGAATTCTTCTTGATAATGAGCACTAGAGATGAATCGCCTCATCCATCCCGTATCCACAAACTGAGAAATGAATTCAAGGCATTCGTTAACAAACACATGGAAACTTTCGATTGTTTGAGTCAATGGAGCCATGTCATGTTGGGCTAGTTTAATAACTTGTGGTGTTCGCAAATACAAAGCGACTCTTTCTATCCGCTCACTAAGTGTTTGACACTGGCGTTTATTTGCCTTTGCTTGCCTAGCTTTTTCTTTAATCTTACATACCACAGTAAAAATACCGTTTATAATGGTGTTAACTATAGGAACCACTTGTAATGGGCTTGTGAATGTTGCAGCTAATTGAGTAGCAGCCATGAAGGAAGTGCACTAATATGTTATCGTTGCTTTTGGTTAGACGACTACAGAGGTGTATAGAGTAACAATATGCATCAATGCGCTTTTATATGCATGCTTTAAACTCATGATTTTGAAATTCAATGCCTTGGGCGTCTATTAACTATAAGACATTATTTCCGAACAGACTATCATTTCGATAGGCACCTGGAGATATCCTACTACAGATAACGCTTGCGTATAGAGGCACTTTGTTGATAACGAAAATCAAGAATGTCATTATATTTATTTACTAATGGATTCAATATTTTACCTGTTTACAGTTTGTCCTGTGCAAAATGAAAAGTCATGATATGACGAATATACTTCCTATGAATATCGTAGGTGTACAAGTATAGTGTTGACATTTCGCGAACGAAAAAGTTTCAAAGGTCAGATTTTTCACTGTTCGAAACAAGTAACATGACGTAAGCATTGCTAAGCCCTCTACTCAAACGAAAATAATATTATAGAAATTAAAACAAAACTATCAATTCCCATGTTTTGTATTCAATCGACCTGTAGTTATGAAGCATTTAGCTTGGTTTTTACAATGAGAACATTTTTTGATAAACTTAATTCTAGCATGATGGTGTGAGTGTGGGATGTGAGTGTGGATGCGGGATCTTCTCCCTACCAACATCCACAACCATATCTTCTTTTTCTGATCATCTTCACTGGTAGATGACATATTCAATATTATCCCTGGTGAATATTCAGTTTGTAAATTAATGACAAATTCGTTTTATAATTATTCGAATATGAACAATTAATTAAATCGATATTGACAAAACACAGATTCTATGTACATATAAGTAAATATTCAAACAAGAACAAAAAAAAAACTAAGCAATAATTAATAGTAATATTTAAAAAATCAAGATAATGCATGTATCATATATTCATAAAATGATTCATCAGTTCAATTTGATAGTAAGTACCACCTTTTAAAGTACGGTAAATGGTACAGAGTCTTGACCTCTATATATGATCATAGCTATAACACACAATAAATGTCTTTTATTGCATTAAAAAATACAAAAGACCAAAGAAACATCAAAATTTCATCTTGAATCTGAAACCAATGAAGTGTAATACTTGAATTATTAGTCAGAAGTATTCATAACCGAAACATAGTGTTCTAATAATAAAAAAGAAACGAAATTTTTTTGTGAATTTTTGACTGATTATAGAGTTTTTAATATTTCAAAATCACTTATATTTGAAATAGATTAGTAAAAATCAAGATATAATCTGATATCGAATAATTGATAAATAGTTGCATGAAAAATCAGACACAGTTATATAAATTTTCCTTATTGGATTGAATCTTCCGATTAAATTATAGTGGATTTGCAAAAGAAAAACTAACAATTTAATCAAATGCATCTCTTCATCGTCTTTCTGTTCCCATGAACTTAAAATTAAAAAAAAAATTGTTACCAACTGCTGTCCAATAAATCGAATTTCGCAAGAAACCGATGTATTATATTTGATGGTTTCCGATTACTTCAAAAAAGTCTTCATGTCAAGTATGAAATTTAAGAAAATTCAGAAAAGACTATTAACCTTTTCAGGCATAGTTATTATTATAGTCATGTGCACATTTTTTATTTTCATACTTTTCATCATTCAGTCATAACAACTTGACGTGTAAATCACCTCTTAATTACTTGATGTTTATCTTTCTTTTTCGTTCTTCGTTTAATCTACGCAATAGGATTGCCTATTCAATTATATTTAAGTGTAAATAATTTCCGACAACTATTAGTTGTTTATTTTTGCACGTGATTTATTGACGATCATATCGTTTCGTAATTATTAAATGTTTTTTTTTTTCTTTCGCCATAATTTTTCATTAGCCATAACAGGTATTAATTATTATTATTGCCTTAGATGATAATTGAAATCATTAATAATAAATTTAATTTATATTAATGCAAAAAATATTTCAATTGTATAGATATTACAGTAAGGCATTTTATTCTAGTCAAAGATGTTCAAGTTATTGACAATACTTTGAAATTTATTACTTTATCATTTAATTTCAATTTTCAAGGTTAAGAATGTTTTCATTTAGTTTAAAGAAAAAATATTTCTGTATTAATTTATGATGAATGAATAAAAAATAATCAAAAGAAAAAAAAAGTATCTCATATTTTCGTAGCGACTATAAAATTCAAGTACGCAAATTTCATTAATAATGTGACGAATACTGTTCGAAATCATAAAACTGTAGATTTGACGAACTCTAGTACTTATGCTATCTACACTTGTTTGTCGACATTTTTTATTTTTATAGTTGTGAAAAAATTTTAACAGAAAACTCTAGATTTTGTCTTCTTACTTTCAAAGAAAATGTTTCATACAATTCAACGACAATTAAAAATATTTCTTCTAATCATATGTTCCTGTTTCAATTTCATAAGTAAGTTAAAGAATTTCTTCGAAAATAAAAACATAATGAATATTAGTTGGAGGTCCTGATCAACTTCGTCTATTAGAACATCTATTGACTAACAATAAATTCAAACCAATTGCACGACCTGTTCAAAATGATTCTCATACATTACCTGTTACTATAAATTTATCTTTACAACAAATCATTACTTTTGTAAGTGAGATTGTATTACATACTTTTCATGTTTTCTTCAACCTTAAAATATAAATAGGATGGAAAGAATGAAGCTATTACTATTAGTGGCTGGATGACAATCGTATGTATACGTAGTTATAATTAGGAATGCAATGGTAACGATGGGTCACTGGTTTACTGATAACTAGTTTTTACCGATATTAGACTAATAACAGTCGGTAGTAATAAAAAAACTATTGTTTCACTAAAAAATCTGATTAACAAAAAATTCTTTTGGGAAAATAAAATGTTTGCAAAAAATTAAACATCGAACTTCAAGAAATCAATGACAGATTCGAATTTCTCTACCCCAATTGCCTTTGGCCCAACTACTTTATCAAGAAAACATTTTTTCATAAAAAGAAAAATTTTTTCCTGATCAAAAAAAGTTCAGCTCAAAATTTTGTAAAACCGATCACAGATCTGATTCCCTCAACTTCGATTATGTTCGGTCGAAATTTATAAGAAATTGTTACTTTCGAAAAAAACTCTTTCTCTGACGTAAAAATCAAATTGAAAATTTTGAAAAACCAACTATACCCTAAGTCGGCATTTGCCAGTATAAACCAGTATTAGCTTAATACCGGTCAGGACCAGTTACCGTCACCATTGCATACCTAGCTATGATATCTGATCTTATTGTTCATATATGTCTATATAGATGTGGAACGATTATAGTTTAAGGTGGCAACCAGAAGAGTTTGGTAATATTCAAACATTACGAATACCCAGTACACAAATTTGGACACCTGACATTTTCCTATACAACACGTTATTATTTTTTGAAAGAATAGATATCTTGAAAAACGAAGTTTCTTTCTTTTCTTTTTTTTTTGAAGTGCCGATGAAAAGTTTGATACTACAGTGAAAGTCAATGCCGTTGTGCAACATACAGGTGATATACTATATGTTCCGCCCGTATTATTCAAATCAAATTGTCCATTTAATATTGCTTCGTTTCCATTTGTAAGTATCAAAAAAGAATAGCATGTCAGTCATATCGTACTTTTATCTTGAATGTTTTGTCTTTTTTTGGATACACAATATTGTACGTTGAAATTTGGAACTTGGACATATGATGGTGCTGGTATGCGATTGAATCACGTTTTTTTTTTTCTAGAATGAAATGCCAAATGTTTTTTTTTATTACTTAGGAATCAATCTGACGGCAGAAAGTAACAAAGGTCAATTAGATGCATATGTCACAAGTGCCGAATGGAATCTGGAAGGTGATGAATATAGGTTATACACATTCTTATTCTATTTATTTTTGTTTTAGATTTCTCTGCAACGAACAATAGTACCAAATATGACTGTTGTCCAAATGTGTATCCATACGTACTATATACTATCCGAATTCGTCGACGTTCTCTTTATTATATTACAAATACTGTTGGTAATTAAATATAAATTACAATATTATTCTCTAACCATTGAGTTAAAATCATTATTATTATTTCGTTTCATAGTACCTTGTTTTCTTATCAGTTGTATGACACTACTCGGACTTGTATTACCACCGGATAGTGGTGATAAAATAACCTTACGTAAGTTAGAATTTGATGATACAAAAAAAAAAAATTTCTTCTTATATATTCTAAATCTTCAGAGATTACAACTCTTTTAACTATCGTTATGTTCAGTTTACTTCTATCAGACTTCATGCCACCAAGCTCAACTGCTGTACCGCTTATTACTGTTTATTTCATGTGCGTTATGATTATGTCTGTAGTTTCAGTTGGTGCATCAGTATTAGTATTATCACTTCATTTTCGAAACTCTAAAACTTATACAATACCATTATGGGTAAATCATATTTCAAAATAAATAAATCATATAATTTATTTTAATCGTTTCAGATTCGTAAGTATATTTGTAACTATTTGGCATGGCTATTATGTATGAACCGTCCTAATCATGATTTAAGTTGGCACGCCATTCGTCGTCGATGGGCTTCTACGAGTCAAAAATCGAATAATATAGATGAATCAATTGATGATCATCATTTTAAGATTCCTTCTGAACCATTATTGAATAATACAATGGAGTTGTCATCGACCAACATTATAAATATTGACAGAGAACCTTTAAAATTCCAAGAAAGTCGAGAAAAACAAAGCTCAGATTCGCTATTAGAATATCCTGTACCTTCAACAACAAAAACTCATCATTCTCATCATCATCAGAATACATATGATATAGAAATGATTTGTTCTAAGCTACATATTATTAGTTCTCAACTCGCCATTCTTACTCGTCATTCTCGACAAGAAGAAAAAGATGATGATGAATCTCAAGAATGGAAATTTATGGCAAGAGTCATTGATCGTCTTTGTCTAGTAATTTTTGCTGTATGCATGATTATTTTTACTACGTTTATTTTTCTTCATTTTTAACTTTTTATTTTAACTTCAATTTATTCTTTTTCTAGTTAGTACTTAACTATATTTTATCTTAATCTTTTCTTTTATCTTAAATATGTATATTTTAATAAACTCTACAGAGAAAATATTCGCAACTGTATACAAACTGTTTGATGAATGAAATCGAATTGAACTATATAAAAAATGAATCTGAATAGCTTAGAATGAATTAATGACATCTTGTTCGATAGCACAGATTTTTTTCTTCCGGGTGTGACTGTTGCTGTGTTCCCAACATCCCGCACCCTAAACTTACACTATTTTTCTTGAAGTCATGTATTTTGATGATTGGGTTGTTGAATTTTAATTCACAAAAATTTAAATCTAAAATAATTTTAAATTTATTTTAGATTCTACACGACGGTATTTGTAAATATTTTTGATATGATAGCTCTCGTGCTCCATCAATTATTGATAAACATGCAATCATAGAATTCATTTTACGCTTCACATCACTGACGAAATATTTTTTATGTCAATTTTATAAAGGATATGCACTTTTCTTAATAAAGAATTTTTTTGTTGTTTTTTTTTTATCTTAATGAGAAATATTAATTAAAACAAAACTGTGTCCAATTTTGTAGTCAGTGAAATGAGACCTATGATTGCACATCTATCAAAAACTGATGAAGCATTGTAACTATCATAAGAAGAAACTTTCGCCTACTCTCTGGTTGCCAACAATATTGTTAGTTGTAGTGATAGAAATATGTTCTATAGATGAGTAAAATTAACTGTGTCATATTGATGCAAATGAATAATTAAAAAACAACATCAACAAGTCTACTATATTGTTATAAAATGAAATTACTTATACAAACGTAAAGTTAAGTAACAGCAATATTTCGATAAGGTATGTGGAGAACGTTATTTTTTCAGTTTCATTTTGTGTTTGAAACTGAAAAAAGTTAAATATAAAATATTTATTGGTAAGAATCTTGAGTAACTATTAAGCGTTAATATTTTGCTTGTTTGTGATCTCAAAGTAATCGAATACTTCAATATGTATCTCTTAGAAATACTGAAGCAACTTTCTATTCAAAATGAAATTCAAATAAAATCCCATCGAATGTTATATCTTATTTTTAATAAAACAATGCATACTGTTTCCTTCCAGTAGGTGAAGACTGATTTTAAACGTTTACACTTGCAAGGGAAAATCCTCAAGTGATACATCGCTTTCGAGGTGCTAAATCAGAATAAAATATTTTCATAAGCTATCAATCAAAATGAAGCAAAAAACGACAGTGTAACATGAAAAGTATGTGCTTTTTGCGAAAAATGATACCTACCTAGTTTGTTTTTTTTGATTTTTCCGTTAGAAAAGAGTGTTTGTAATCGTTAGAAACAAATTTTTCATGATCAGCAGCTTACACTCTATCAAACTACGTATAGAAAAGGCGAAAACAAATTTCAATTTGAATTTTGAATTATGAACACCTCACATAAATCGTTATTACTCGGCATGCGTAGGGACACAGCATAGAATAAACTATATTCGTGTTTACATTTATGAAATTTTGCGCATGTAAATGCTTAATTATTATCAATGCATGCAAGACAATTTTAAAAGCACATGCAGTAAATATGTGTGGACACGTGAGAGTTTTTTTTCAAAGATAATATTCGAACATACGTACCAGAGATCATCGCAGGACAGGACGCCCTCAGGGTATGTAAACAGAGATAGACTATGAAATAGATTGTTAATCTTACGAAAGATTTTTGTTCTTGTTTATATGCAGTACTCATACCTTATTTTATATAATTCCAAAGGAATATTTGATTTTGATAATTTGATTTTGAGTCTCTTTGGCCCTGATCGAATGTATCATTTTGAGGTCTACTATAGACATGTAGTTACTACGTGTTCATTATGCTCACTCATGAACAATTTGTTTCGTTCTATTAGGAAATCTTTTTATAGAACGAAAAATTGTAGCCAACGGATGTAATAAACACTATACCGTCAATTTACAAGCAAATTCTTCCACAGCTATTAACTATGAACTTGATTTTGTTTTCTTTTCAGATGAATACAAATATCATAGGTCATAATCTTACATCCGTTAAACTT